GTGCTCTGCTTTAGATGGAATGAAGGGTTGAAGTGGGCCAAGCGTGCTCAGAATAACAAACAGGTGAGAGAGGAGAGAAAGATGCAGTGAAACACCCGCCCCCCACAGAGCTCTGCATCAGCTTGCTGAGCTGTGTGTGTGACTTGTATATTTGCATATCCGTGCATGTTTGTGCCGTCCTTCCAAAAACAAGCGCTCGTAGATAGAAACCTCTGTGTCACTGCTCTCAATCAATTCTATTTCTGAAACTTCTAATGAAGTTTGTGTTTGAATGTGATGCCTTTCAGCTCCCTTTCATTTGGCTTAACAGATCAGTGATTCTCAGAAAGCTCAACACAAACCTCCGTCTGTAGCTCTGGATTATTTTCCAGAATTGAGAGACGTGAGAAATCTGACGGAGGAGTTTCTACTGGTGTCAAGTGTTTTTTGGCTTGTTGAACGTGAAATGGTACCCGCATCACCTTCTCAGCCAACCTTAGTCACTTATGACTAAGCAGGATGTCACTGTATTCCTGCACAATCCTGTTTTGCCTTTGTTTGTGCCTGAAAACAGATCAATTCTGCTTAATTTGGATGCATTTAGCACAGTATGCTGGGTGGTACAAGTACACATGGAGTTTTAGGCGTAATTCTTGCAAGTGAAACATCTGCATCTGTGAATGAAAATAAAGCAGATTAAAGCCGTTAACATATCGCACTATAGAAAAGGTTTCAGCCGACCCTCATTCCTGTATATTTTGCTGGGATAAAGGGAAACGGGTGCAGATATAAGATGCTTGGAAATACAGCATCAAGGCAAAAATGGATGGCTGTTATATGCAGGCACAACACTGGTTCAGGTTTGAATGATTCATAGATGAGCGTTAAGTAGCTTAACAAACAAAACAAAACAAATCTAAAGAGAAACGAACTGAAAATGAGAGAAAAAGAAGTGGAATGTCCAAAGAAAACTACCTGCAGAAAGCCCAGAGAGCTAATGCTCATTTTACAAGATCACAACTGTCCTTGGAAGCAAAAAAAGTAAAATGAGGGATGGGCCAAGACTTTTGTACAGTACTGTACACTAAATGGATAGACTGTGCATTAGAGAACTGTGTAACTTCGTAATTTAATGTTAAAATAAAGATTATTGTCAAAGAGTAGCACAAATACAGTGTTGGACTGAGGTGGATGGATTTAAGTAAAATCAGAAAGTTTTCAGCCACTAACTCTGACTCATTAGGGTTTCAGGCACTTTTAAACAGTCCAAGATAACTTATTTCTATGAATTAAGTCACTAACCCATCAGTTTCTGTACACATAAGAACAGTGACCGTCGTCAGCTCAGTCTCAGCTGCTCGCTGTTTGTCTGCTTAGGTAAATACACAAACACATGCTTGGGATTCCTGTGGAATAAGACCAGGGAGGGTAAAGAGCACTGGGAGAGTGATATCCC